AATTCCTCGTTTTAAGATATAATTAGGTTGCGATAGCTTCAAAAACCATAAACCTAAAGATCCAATAACCACCACTCTCCGTTGTACGATAACATTTTATCCACTCTATCTTTAATCTCAAGAGGCGTATGTTTCAACCAAAAATTACATTATTATATTACTAGCTTATACCTTGGCCCTTCTGCACCTCCATTTATTGAACTCCATTCTATTCGCCATGGATTGATATCGGAGTTGAAATCTTTTACTTGCCCAGTTTAAATCTCCAAGAATAAAATCGAAGTGCTAAGAGACCGGAAGATTGATTTTCAAAGGCGGCCTTGTACTGTGAAGTGAAAGGGGCGCAAACTATTGCACGATGGAGGGAATTTCAAAGGTAAGTTAGAAATAGATAAGAACAAACATAAAAATGTAAATATAAATTAAAAAACGCAAGGACACAAGACGTAGTAATAGAATTAGTTTCTTCCATGTTGGCCAATTACCAATTTACCTTTAGTGAAAATTAAGGAAAGAGCAGTGATTTTAGAATTGAGAAACTAAATGAAACTCTGCCACGAAAATTGCAGCATCAAGCACCATAAAAATACATATGGCAGACTTAGTGGGCTTGCTAATCATAATAAAAAAAAGTCCTCTGATTTTCAGAGTGTCACTTCGTGTATGTTTTGTATTAAAAAGATACAAAAAAATTGGTTTAGTGTAATTGGTTGCGATTACTGTCTTTGTTTGAAAAGACTTTCACTCTCATTACAGGAAATTTGAAATAGAGAAAAGTATACAAAATTTTAGGAGGATTAAAACTCATCTACATGCTTGCCATGTATAAAAAAAAAAATTGATACATGCTTACCAAATGATAAAGCTCATAAATGTGGTGTAGCCCATATAATCAGGTTAATCACTTAATCTGGGCTCTGAGATGCGAAGCCCAATTTCTAGTGGAGCCCATATTTCACGCAGTAATGAAAGTATGAAACACATAAAAAACAACCCGTCTCCCCCAAGTCTACATTGGAACAGCATACCCGGGTGGAAGTTCCAAACAGTTTTTAGAGACTAAACCCATCCACCAAAGGCCACAACAATTCATTAATTCATACACAACAATTCATTAATTCATACCATTGTGATAAATTTTCATAGGCTGAAAATGACCTTGTTTTCAAGTTTTCATCCAACATAATGTATGAGATTTATCTAATTAGGCGATCATATATTGTGGTCTACACTCTACATATACAAATATACATTATAGGAATAATATCAAACTTTATATTTTATGAGTCTAAAAGGATGAACGTTTAACTCTTGAGTAGTTATTCAAAGTATTAAGTATGTGTATATATTAGATATATAACAAATTATTTATCTGGTTAATTTGGTTTGGCTGGTTAGGAGTGTCTGAAACCAAACCAAATCACCTAAACCAAACAAGCTAAAAACTTTAACCAAACCAAATCAATTATCCAAATAGTATCTGTTAAAACGGTCATCATGGTAATCATACCGTTTGAACACCCCTAACAGGGTGGAAGTTCCAAACAGTTTTTAGAGACTATAGGTGGCCAGAATCTACACAATGCAACAAGGACGTGTTGCAATAAAGCAGCACCACCACCACCAGAAACCCACCAACCAAAGGCCACAAATTACCTACCCAGTACTCTCTCTCTCTCTCTGTAATCTAAAAGGTCAATAACAGAACAGCTGAACCTTCACTAATCACTATACTCCCTAATCCGTCAGTTTACATTTAAAACAAATTTTGTTACAGGATGATTCTTCTTCTGTTGGGCCTTGATACCATTTTTTATATCCCGTAACACTCGCATTACCAAATTCTGCTATCAATTAGAGTAGGCTTCAACACAAACTAATACCGTCGAATCCTAGAAAGTATGGTGTTCAAATTAGATGTAGAGGACGAGCCAGGGTTAATAAACAAACGAGAAGAGAAAGACGCACAAGAATTAATTTGGGCTAAGTAACACGTGGGGTCTCTCTCTCTCTGCTAAGTTCTCAGGCGGGGAAGAGCAAAAAAGAAAAGCACCTCACTCACTCACTTTCTTATTATGCTTTCTTTCTTCCCGTCCGTCCCCCACCTCCCCTCACTCTTTCACTCTCTTCCAACTTCTTGCTCCCAAGGAAACCAGGGACAACAACACCATAATAAAAGTGGGAAGCAGAGAGAGAGAGATTTAGAGAGAGGAGAAAATTGGAGGCTTGTTCCGGCGATGAACGATGGGAGCCCCGACGACTGGCTGCCGGAAGGCTGGAGAGTTCAGGTCAATGTTAGGAAGAGCGGTAAGAAGGATAAGGTAAGGTACCTTCCTTCTTCTTCTTCTTCCCCGATTTCCATTCTCATTTCCCGCTCTCCCCCTCTCCCTCTTTTCGATTCCCAAGGACTAGTAATCCTCAGCTGTTTCTCTGTGATTTTAGGGTGTCTCGCAAGTCACTGTAGCTACTAGTCTGTGCTGTATTTGCTAATCGAATCCCTCAGCTTGTTTCCGTAGCAACTTATTAGTCTTAACTGTTAGGTTACGGAATGAATCGATGTTTTTGCTTATACTGCTCGGACCATTTGCACCGGAAATGGCAAATTTTTGGGTTGAACTACGGATTGCATGTGCCATTTTTGCCCTTTAGGAAACCCCCTTTGCATAGCTAGGCTTTTTGCATTGAAGGAACCTTCATACTATTGTGCCCCCCAATTCCCAAACTTGCTCAAGTTTATGCTAGTTTGTATATGTTGTGATTCCTGGAATGCATGAATCTGCATGCATATGTGTTCTTCATTGTTATGTCTACACTTGATGGCATTGATCTCGATGCCTTTATGAGATGGGTATTCATTGGGGGAGTCGGGACTGAAACTGATGTTAATGGCATTAATCTATGTGTTATTCTGCAACTTTGCGTTGCTAACTGCTGGAGTTAGATGCATCATCAATGTCTGAATCCCTTTTACCTCTTACTAAATCTATGTGTAACATGTTATGCCGTGTGTAAGTTAACTTGGAGTTGATTAGCCGATCGATAATAGATTGCGCGCACAAAGACAGCTTTTTGAAGTTGTGATGTTGTTTGACTATATATATTTGCTCTATTTGCAGTGGTACTTTCCTCCCACCGGCGGGGCTAAGTTCTACTCTAAACTTGAGGTAACTCGATATCTAAAAAGCAACGGTAGTGGCATCAACGTTGGTGGCAGCGAAGGCCATACGAGCGATGATAGCTACAACACAGTTAACAATACTAGAAGCGACAATAACATCAGTACAATCGACAGTAGAGGCAACTTCAACACTACAGGCAACATCACCACTCCCTCCAATACTCTCAAGAATAGCAACAACCTCAACTTGGTCAATATCACTAGTAGCAACCCCACCAACACCCCCACCATAGGGAAGAATACCAACAATGTCACGGATAGTAGCAATCACTTTGCCAATAGCCATCCCAAGAGTGGAGAGGGGGAGAATAGCACTCTTAAAAGATCCTCTAAACAGGTTTCTAATGGCACTCGGCAGCTTGCATGTTTCCTTTGTTGGTTTGTTTCAATATTTTCCTTATTTTAGACTGAGGGTTTGATTAATATGGAATCGAAGCCATCATAAATGTCTAAAATCATTCTTAAAATTCACTCACTATTCACTAGTGTTTGATATGATACCTTTCATTATTTACTCTCTTCTGCATACTAAGAGAAGGGTTTAAATTCACTTGGAATGCAGGTTACCTTTGAGAAGGCTACAGCGGAAGGGTTACCTCCAGGATGGACCAAAGAAGTTAAAGTAACAAAGAAGGGCAGAAAAATACGAAGAGATCCGGTACTCAGGCTTCTTCTCTTGTCTTGGGATTTTAATTCTTTGATTGCACCTTTTAACTTCATATGTTATGCCTCTTACTGAATGTGCTGTGTGTTGCTAATATTCATAACACAATTGCAGTACGCCCTGGGAGATGAGTAGTATGGACGACTCAAACTTGATTTTCATGAATTCACTAACTAAACTTTGCCTTTTGTAGTATTATACGGATCCTGAAAATGCATACACATTCCGTTCCATGAAAGATGCGGTTCGGTATAGTCAGACTGGGGAGGTTAGAAGACTAGCAATCAGGCGGAGGGAAGGAAGGCATCATGACGATGCAGAAGATGATGAAACTCTGGTGGGTACTTCAACATTAAAATTCTGGAAGTTTATGGTCTACTATTTTATCCGAGAATAAGTATGATGCCTGCTACTGCTAGCGACCTCCCCAATATGTGATGATATGACTTGAAGTTAGTTAGCTGCACCATAACAATAGTTACAATAATGAATTCATGTCTATTCTCGAACCTGTAGTGATTGGCTTATCTGAGTTCTTAAATTGACTCAAAACTAGGGTTGACATTCTTAGCGACTCACCATGATTTTTTGTCTGGGCTGAGGACTCCGTCAAGAGTTCTAGTGATTCTAAGTTGAAATTTGTCCTTTGAAATGTCTACTAGCTTCCCCTTCCTCGCTTCCAGAGTTCCTTTACTGTCTTCTAGCTTAGTCTCAGATGTATTGCCTTTCATACGTGGGAATGCTTACTGTTCTATTAATTTTGGCTTGCCAGTCGCCAGCTTTAACCAAGAGACACCACTTGGGGACTGATGCAACTATGAACAGAACTAATAAGAGCTTAAAGGTGCCTGGAGTAGAACCTACCTTCAAAGTAACTAAAGTAGCTCCACCAGCAGCTGAAGCCCTCCCAGATGTTCAAGAAATGCAACATGAAGAAATGGACCAGACCTTGAAGGTGACTGAACAGGCTACTACTATAGTACCTGAAATACTCCCTGAAAAGCGCACAGTTCAACACGAGGAAAAGGAGATTGGAGCAACTGCTCCAGAAGCTAAAGGTGTCTCTGATATGCAGCCTGTACAACAACACAAAGTGGAAAACCATGAGACCAAGAAATATAGTACAACTGGCAAGTCCAAGAAAAAGGAGGACGTCGTACAGATCCCTCGCCGTGCCTCGAAGCGACTTGCTGCTCTTCCTCTTGAGCCTACTACCGCAGCACTAGAGGCGAGTCCATCTTCTCATCAAGCAGCAGCAGCTGTTAAAACTGTGGATGTTGGTACTGCCGCACTTGATTCTACCTCAGCACTGAAGACCCCAAGTCAACAACATCATCATCATCGAGCAGCATTAGTTAAGCCGTCAAGTGATCCGGCTGATCCCAAGCTGGAAGTAAATCATCTATACCAGAATACATCCGTGGCAAGAAAAGCCTTCGCCGAGTCAAATAAGAGCAAGCTTTCTGGAACTTGTAAGAAAGCTGAAGAAGGTGAAGCGGGGAAACTGCCTCTCGATGCTCCCCTGGGAGAGTTATGGGAAGACCCATGCATTGCATTTGCAATAAAGACCCTCACCGGGTCACTTGATGACTTGCCAATGGGGTCGAACTATAATGGACTCGGTGATTCAGCCAGTTCGAAGGAGCATCTGGCTACTCCAGAAATAAGCATTCCTGAACCGGAGCCAATAAACCATTCTCAGAATCCAGTATCGCCTGCCGGCTTGTCTGCAGCTTATACATGGGCAGACCCCTGTATCGAGTTTGCCATAAAAACTCTAACTGGTGCAATTCCACTGGAGTCTGATCTTTTCAACATGCAAGAGCAGGCAACTTCATCACAACAAGTTCAACCAAGTTCCGGTCAGGTATTCCACCAGCCTACTACTATCGTCCCTACCGAAGCAGCAGCAAGGGTAGAGCAGCTGTCATCACCGCAGACGAAAATCGCGAGGTACACTGGTGGGAGCAGCCCGTCTGCTGGTATGGGAAGGAGAGTTACCAGAAGCCAGAGGAAGGCTGTGTAGGTTTGTCGTTAACTGTAGTCGTCTAGTCGATTGTTAATTGTACATATGGAAGGTGAAGCTCTCCGAGTCCGGAGAGCAACATCATTTTGGCTTTAGTTCTCTCTTATCCTAGTTAGCTTGCTCTACCGTGTTCAGTAAATCTGCTCACCTGTGTAAACAAATGTTCTAACTTTAGGGTTCTTGCTTCTGGGCTGCCTCCAATGGATGATGATGGTGAATACAATAATCTCCATGATGTAGTACTATATCATGTTTTTTTTTGAGTAAAAGTACTATATCATGTTTGTTTCCCTTTGTTCTTCCAAATTGTCAAAATTAGCATAATTTTAATCGAATAAATTAGCTAACATTGACAGTTAGGGGTGTCAGTTCGGGTCGGGTTCGGTTACCCAAACGAAACCTGAAAAAATCCAAAAACCCGAAACCAAAAATCACTAAAACCGAACCCGAATATGATAAGGACTTGCGGGTTCTGGTTACCCGCCACCCGAAAATTCCTTATCGGGTCCAGGTTCGGTTAAAGCAAAACCGAAACCCAAAAACCCGAAAGTCTAAAAATACAGGCTGAGTTCTATTCATTGGAGGTTTTTAGTCGGAACTCGAAAAACCGATAAGCAAAACCGAACCCGAACCCGAATACCCGAAACCCGAAACGAACCCGAATCTGAAAAACCGAAAATGTATATAATCGGATCGGTTTCGAGTAAACCCGAAAAACCGAACCCGAATTGACCCCGTATTGACAGTCCATTTTAACATGTACTCGATCCAATCTAAATTCATACCTTGGATCACATCTCTTTACTACTTAATAGCTAATCAGGGTTATGCTAAAAGGTCACAATTTCATGATTCGATTTGCCGAACAGTCTTAAAAAATTCTGTGACTGTTGATGTAGTTAGCCATTTTTATAAAATGAAGGCCCAAGCCTAAATCGTCAACCGGAACCACGATTTCCCCGTAGGCAAATCGCTGGCGGGAAACCGGGGTTTGGTTCCCGCCAATCTCCTCCCTGTTTCTGCTTTTTGCGGGAGAGAGAGAGAGACACTGAGATACAGAGAAAGAGAGAGAGAGGCAGTGAGACACAGAAGAAGATGCAGATTGAGGTGAAGTGCAGCTGCGGCGCTGAGAACTGTCCGGAATGGGCGATCGTGGAGCTGCAAGGCGTTGTCGAGGTCCAGCCTTCCCATCGAGACGGAATTCAGAACCTCGAAATCGGACGCCTTTGCCGGCCTTCCTCTGAAGAAAAGTATACTCTCACGATTGGTTATCACGAACTGTCGGGAACGAAGGTCACCTTGAAGAAGCCCCTGGCCGTGCTGAAGAAAGTCAAGCGAACGGACGACGGTGACCATGGTGACGGCTCTTCTTCAGGCAAGGTGGAGCTGGACGTTGTGGGCGTCATACGGCACAAGATTCTGTTCAAGACCAGACCCAAGGCCCTAATCTCCAGTAAGTTCTCCACTAATTCTCACTTTTTAAACCACTCCTCTTCGTCCATCTGTAGTTTTATTGTTTTGTGTTGATTTCTTCTTTGATCTCAATCGCAGAACCTCCTGAACCGGCAGTGAAGGAACGAGCCAGCAGCACTAGCTCTAAGAACTGATGGAAAGGGCAGATCGAATGGGGAATGGAAAGCGTGATTTGATTCGCTATTCCTGAATTGCTAGTTCAATCTCTCATGAGTATTTCTAAGCTTCAATCTTTTGCAGAAATGTAACCAGTTATGGATATGGCAGAAAAGTTCTGAACTTTCTTTCAATGCTGTATCTCTAATGAATAAAGTAAATCTATGAGCTCATCAGGCCAAAAAGCCTACATCATGAACCAGTTATCATTACACATAAGTTTTCCCAGTGGATTGTGTAATCATGTTCACTCCCATACTACTAACTTGCTTCTCTGCAGTAGAGAAGTGGAGTGCGAAAGAATATGCATCCTATGGCAAAATTAGTACACTAGTCGCGCAAGTAGGATGCTGTGTAACCCTCTAGCATATTTACAGAATCTACTGAAAAGCCAGGTGGTGAAAGGTTCCTCATCTTGATTCCAAAATAGATTGTGTTGCTAGACACCAGGACCAGCCATCCCTGCACGCAGTCTCAATGTTTCAGTTCGCTTGCTCCGTTCCATTGCCTCAACTAGCCATTCTAGACTTCCTTTGATACCCAACCTGCACGATGTCTCGATGTTTCAGAGATTATAGGACACTTGTGGATGTTTCTCTCCATTGTGGTCAAACTTTTTTTTTTATTTAATCTTACAATCAATCAAAATCTCTACTCAGTGCTCACTCACCCATCATATGCTGAAACAGCTTCGAACATGTAAACCCTTTCGTCCAACTTCTTCAGGTCTAGATATCTACCCAGTTCTTCAGCTGTTACAGCGTCTGGAAGGTCCTGCAATTGCAAGGGGGTTTAATCACTTACTAGAGAGAGTTGCAGCAACCAATATTCTTATCAAGCTGAATCTCATTGGAAAGTTTACCTGCTTGTTTGCCAACACCAAAAGAGGGGCGCCTCGCAGGTCATCATGCCTAAGTACTTTCTCTGTCAAGTATCAACAGAAAACTCACAGTTGTTAGCTTAACTTCCTGTCCAGATGTTAGTCTCTTCCTTGAAGATCAGAAAGTAGCCAAATAAAGCAATGCTACTTACCCAAAGCAGATTTTGCATCTTCAAAACGAGAAGGGCAAGCAGCATCAATTACATACACTACAGCATGTGCTTCTTCATAATATTTCTCCCAAATTGAGCGAAGTCCAATCTAAACATGATGCAGAGGAGGGAAAGCACATTTCAATGATTCAACCATTAACTTATCCTGTGTGTAGAGCTACTTCTAGGATGATCTTAGCAGCTATGATGGATCATAAACAAAGCTGCATCATATTCCCCACTTCAAAAAAAATGTTTTTTTCTCTTAATAGAACTGCTAACATCCCATTGTGCAAAAAGGAAACTCCTAGCACAATTATAAGCAAATGAGTCACTATTTGAAAGTCTGTCAAGTTTGAATTGTAATGTGTACCTGCCCGCCCAGGTCCCAGAACACAAGCTTGGAATTCGACACTTCAAGACGTCCAATATTGAGTCCAACAGTTGGAACAATTCTGTCATGGGGGAGGCCTTCAGAATTCGAGTACACTGTCTTCAACCTTTCTAGCAAGGTCTACCAAAATTCAGAAAAGAACAAATGGATAATTATGGGAGTGGAATTACTTGCACAATGAACTTCTCACATCACAAGGTCAAGAAGCATTACCGTCTTCCCTGCCTTGTCGATCCCAAGAACGAGCACATGAAACTCCGTCTTACTGAACATATACTTAAAAAGGCCATAGAACAAGGAGAACATGTCTGCGTTGAGCAATTGATGTATCACTTGTCCCTTCTCGCCTATAGGATTAAAAGAAACAAGGTCTCATAATCCTAACTTGATACCCGCCACACCATTGAATGGACAATCCTGAAAGGGTTGGGAATATAATTAAACATGAGATGACAGACATATGAAGTTACTCTACTTCCTACTTCCAAGCAGCCAAGCCAAATATCACCCAAGCCAAGCTTGTATCAACAAGCATGGTTCAATGCACGACAAAGCCAAGAAAAAAAAAAACAAGTCTGCCAAACTATTGTAGAACATCAGCACACAACACAGGCAGCACGTATTCAAAATGAGATTCTTCAACTACCCAAGAGTCTGATAACAAAGCCATTTCTCCCTGGCAACCCTCTACAGACACCACTGCATGCATCCAAGCAGCAACAAATCACAGTCCCAAAGCCATTCCATTTCTGAATCACTGTTCAAATTTTGGGTTTGCAGAGCCGATTGGACCCCAAAATAGTGGAGCTCTAAACCCCTCAGCAGCCTCTCAATGGTGAAAATGTAAACGAAACAGCAGAGAACCCCCAGATCAAGCAAGCAAGCAAACGGACGAAAAAACCAGTATAAACAAATCTCTCAATCATCGTCCAATTACAATAAATTCGGTTCAGAAACTGACAAGCAAGGAATCTAACTAATGATAGCCGAGTAACAAGGTGGCGATCGCGGCGGAGTCAATTTGGTTTTAGCTCTGCAATTCGAGAGAGCTTTTGTCTTTCCAAAGCCGAAGACCTCTCGCAACAGTCTCCCCTCCCCTCCAACAAATAGAATTCCTTCTATTCTGTTTTCTCCCCTCCTGCTGAACGGATGAATTCCCGATATTGCCCCCAGCCACGTGGAAGGTCCCCTTGACTCGGACACTTTTGTCTACGTGGATATCCTGCTCAAGCAGGGGGGACTGCAGAATGATGCATCGCGTGGGAGGGTAGTTTTGGAAAAAGGAGAAAAGAGACTCGATGTGGAAAAAAGGGGAAATTTTTCCGGGGCATAATTGGATCGAGAAAACTGTCGCGCGGAAAGGAGGAAGAAACGAAGGAAAGCGCAGAGAAGAAGAGCATTTGGGACGGTACGATTTTCTCCTCCTCCTCCTCTTCCTGTTTTCGCTTCTTTCCGCTCTCGTTTTCTTCTCGAGAGAGGACGGAATGGAGAATTTGTGCGGAGATATGTGTATGTAGTAGTGAATTGATGTTTTAAGCCTAATCGCCGGCAGAGTTTGCTTGCGAATACTTTCTCCCACTTTCTCCCGTGCCAAACAGCACTCTTTGAATCTGTGTTTTTTGGATTTCGTGATGTAGCATCTTGCGTACAGATTGTTAGAATGATTGTATCTGAAATTTTTGTTGCTGTTCGTGAATGGCGGAGTCCTGGATTGGATTCCATGGCTCTAGGTTCATGTCGTTTGCCCTGAAGAAGAAGATGGATTGTACTCGTACTCATCTTCTACATGTTAGGCTTTCTTCAGAGATTAGCTGACTGGTTTTTGCAATCCCTTGTAATTTCTCTGCACTAATTGTATTAGCTGAAGTTCTGTCTCATAAACCTGGTGCTCATTTCTGTCTTAAGCTGATGGAAACTTTTGAAACCTCGCCTATCCTGCTTCTGATTCATGGTAGTGATTCTATTTGTCCAAATTTGATGATTAGGTTCAAGCCTTGTGAAGATTTTGTTCTCCTTCATTCTTTCTTTCTTGTGCGGATTTATGATAGGGAAATCACTCGTTTGGATGTTGGTTATACAGATGTTTTGCAATCTCAGTTTTTCCCCCCTTCTTTTTGATGGGACTATTCCATTGTTGTTTACTGTTACCTTGTTGGTTTGTGATTGCCAATTGTTTTGATAACATTTGGAGAATCTTCCTTGGAATTCTTAATTATCTCATCATTCCACATGTCCTTGCTGCATTAGCTTATGTTCTACGTGACGAGGTTGCTTTTTCCTATCTATAATGATGTGTGTCACCAATGCTGGTTGAATTTTTGTTTTGATTAAATGTATTTAGCTGATTTCATTGACGATTTTGACCAGGTTCCTTTCTTGCTCAGTGTAATCAGAGGTCTATCAACTGTCTGGTGTGCAATTTTGGCTCTGGAAAATGACGTAATTATGGATTTCTCCTTCCCTCTCTTGATTCTGTTTCCTTTTGGGATATCGATTGGATCCATTTTTTCCAATACTAGTTCCATCTAACATGCAAAATATGTACCCAATGAATACTAGTTCCATCTCTCTTGATTTTGTAATACGCAAAAAAAAAAAATGTACCAATGAATACTAGTTCCATCTAACATCTTCTGGCAGTTTTGTATAGATTTCAATCAGATATCTGAAGTGAAATCTGGTTTTCTTAACATGTTTGTAGGGGAGGTAAAGGACGTGTAAGATGGGATGAAGATAATCTGGGGGAGATTGAGGCTAATAAACCTGTGAGGCAAAAAATTACTGAGCCTAAGACACCGTATCACCCCATGATTGATGATGATGGTAATTCATTATCTCCTTGATTCAAATGCAGTGAACTTTTTACAGAATAGCACAAAAAAGCATGCAGGGTGTAGTTATTCTTCATCTTTCAACTCGTAGAATTGCCAATTTGTCGAACCAGAATTTGTGAAGGGCTTTTAGCTGCTAATATATTTTAGGTAGCTTTTGTTTTTGGCTGAAAGTGGAAGAGAGTTTATTTATTAGAAATTCTTGTTTTGGCAAGACTTGCTGTTTGTTTAGTTCCTCCTTGGGCATAATTTGATTTCTCAGCGTGCCCTAATGCAATCTGGGTTTGGTTGATTGCATACAGGCACTCTATCTCCTGCTAAGGACAGCTTTGATGAGCCCGTTGATGATGTTATGCATGCTGAGGAATTGCGAACGGCATTACACACTGTGGCTTCTTCCTCGAGTGGAAACTCCAGCAGACGATCTACTGGCTGGACATCATCCGAAGATGAAGCTGACCTAATGGAACAAGATGATGAAGGTCTTGACCTCATACATCCTCTCTTTGGTTTTTTCCTGTTTCAGTTTGGTAACTTCTTACTTATGGTTAGGAGGCCTTTTTCTACGTAAAATAGGAAATTTAGAGGTGGTCTAAGCCTCTAAGGGATAAGCAGTTTCATCTATCAAACTTTATGCAGTCGGATTCTTCATATTAATGGGGATAATAAGGTAAAGGGAACAGTCTAATAGAGAAGTTCTGAAGAATGAAATCTGTTAATAATTTTTAAGCATTTGAAGCATAATGTAGTAAACGCATACTTGCATTTGAAGCATAAGTTTACTCAAATAATTCGCATGTTCTCAAGACATAACTTGGGGCTTTTGTCATGCTATTTCTAGGCCTACTAGCCGACTCCTGTTAACCGAGTAGTCTCTGGTTTGCAGTAGTTAACAAGAACATCATGCATAACCACAGTTGAAAGTACTGAATTTGATTGCATTTATTTTTACCTTTGATATTCCTTCAGAGTTTGATTCATCTTTTCGTTGTCAACAACGTTGCCAGATAATGAAACGGACAGGAAAGCATATTTCAGGGAGCTTAGAAGAGCACACTACGACGAGTTCCGGAAAGTGAAAGAACTCAGGCGCAAGGGGTCGTTGTTGGAGGACGAGGAGGCTGAAGAAAACGGCCATGCCAAGGAGAACAACGGAGGACGCTCCAGTTCAACAGCATCAGTAACCGCTGGTGTGAGGAACATCGACATTGAAGGAGATGCTTCAACTTCATCTCGCCCTCAAGCTAATGGATCGTCTTAATACTCCCCACATAGTGAGCCCAATCTCACGCCTTTTTATAACTACTGACTCTATTCTAGCTCATCTTTTTTTCCCATGTACTTTCAGTTCACCACATTTTAATATCAGAATCTTGTATGTTTCCATTCGCTTCAACGCTGTAAATAGCTTTTACTTTCACCTCATCTCAAGCATTCTATCGCATTTTTACTCGTTTCATCCTCTAGCTATGGGTTATCTTGAGCCTCAGTCCTTGATTAACATGAAGTGACATGGCCTCTCCCAATTGGATGCATCTCCCTCATGACCACCCCGCCCATCTCCGCCGGCGACCTCCTGGTCGCCTCCGCCGTACCAGGTGGGTTCTCCACGGTGGACGCGCTTTGTTTTGTTGCGCGGTCGCGCGGCGGAGAAGTGCTTCTCTTGACTGCACGGCCGTAAACGGAGTCCTGCGTGCACGCCAGTAAAGTGTTCTATGTCCGGCGCAGACTATCACCGGTGATGGCAGTGGGGAAGGGAAATTGAGCAGCCTCCGTGAGATTTTGCCGATGGGGAGCCTGTACGAAGGGTAGTCGGATAATTTATCACGGGTGGACTCATTTAAAGTAAAACATTAATTTTTATTATTTTAGATATTATTTATTTGTGTCCAAACAATTAATTAAAAGAACAACCCTAAACAATTCACGCCCAGTCACAAAAATTCTTCCGTCTGCTTGTTCTCCCCTGGCATCGTCGATCGACTCGGTGGCGCTGTTCCCGGCTTATCCTTGCCGGCGGTCACAAGAAACCGTTCGACCCGCCATTTGCATCTCCTCCTGCCATCCTGCACTCGGATCTCGTGCTCTTGTACTCTGCCACTCCGCCGACAGTTTCAATTCCGAATAGCGGAAGTCGAATTTCAGGTCGATGAATCCCGAGTCGTCGACGACGGTGGTGAAATTGCCTTCACGGAGCGGAAAAAAACCCCAGGATCGAATAATCCCTCTTCTTATTCTCGATGTCGTCGAACCCGCTGTGGCGGCGGCTTGTTGGAATTCGAACGCTTTAGAGTGTTGGAAGGCTATGATTGAGCATCGTTCTCGATCAGGAAGGAGACGCGACCGACGTTGTCGACTTCCAGATTGGACTTGCTCTTGCTGGAATGGGAGGCGCGATTGGGGAAAATTCTGCAGTAGGAGCAGGAAGAGATTTCGATGCAATCGAGTATACCAAAGTGAGGAGGCATTCTTGGAGGCAGTGGGAGGCAGATTCTGACGGGAGGGGAAGAAGAAGGTGTCGCTTGCACTTTACAGGGGAGGTAAGAAGAAGAGTCGTGGAAGAACTATTGTTGTTGGTTTTACATAAATAAATGATAGATAAAACAATTAAAACTAAATTAGGAATAAAGGAGGGCAATTGGGTAATTTTTTAGTCACTTTAACGCCCACTTAACGGATAATTTGACGGAAGGGTAAATTTGTTATGTTTTAATATTAGAAGGATATGTTTGTGCAAAAATTTAGTAGAGGGGTACGTTTGATAATTTACGATAATAAAGGGGTACAAAATGCTATTAACCCATTAAATTATGCATAATTTAAGCACACAGGATAAGAGAGTGCTAGTCGAGGATAGTAATAATGACCGCCGCCATACTAATAGTCAATATTACCCAATCCAAAATAAATTACACAAATTGGATAGTTAGTCTAAATTACCATACCTACTTCAAACTATTTAAACCATCTCTTTATTTAATATCCTATGATATGGTAAGAGGTTTAGTTGTAGAGAGTAGTATTTGTCAGTATCATTGTGTTAATTTGGTATGGGAAAACGACAAATAGAATGGCGCTTGAGATAAGTAGGCCAATGATTAGGGTGGCAATACGGGCAGGTCCGGTTCAATTGGCCCGAATTGATTCAGTTCCAGTCCGGTTTTTTTGAAAATATGAGGACCAAAACTTGGATTGGGTACAATCTGGTTTTGTCCCGGTCCGGTTTTGACTCGGTCCGGTCTCAATCCGGTTTTGATCTGCTTTGACCCATATTGACCATGTTGCTGAAAATTCAGCAGCCGACGTCACGTTCGGTGGTCGGAGACTCGGAGCTGAGCCGGCATCGCTGGGTCAAAGCGGAGGTGGTCGGCGCGGAGGCGGGCTGGGGGCGTGGGCGGTGGGCGGCAGGCTGCTGGCGGCGGGTGGCGACTGCTTTGTTCGGCGGCTGCTTTGGTCGACTGCGACTGCGACTGCGTCTCTGCGATGCGAAGGCCGAAGATGGAATGGAGAGGACGAGTCACGAGAGGGCAGAGGCGCTGGTCTGCATCTGCAACCCTACAAACTAACAAAAGTTCTAAATGGACTCCTATGGGCCGCCGGGTAGTGGGCTTGTTTGGGTCCTTATGGGCTTTGTCTTTGGGTCCGAATTGCCTCTAGTCTGGTATGTTTTTACTCATCCGGTCTTCCGGGTTTTACACGGTTTTGACCCGGACAGGATTGGTCCGGATTTTTTGCTAATCCCGAGATCAAAGATGGGATTGGATTGTTTTACATCCGGTCTCGGTCTTAAAATGGTCCGAGTTTTACGGTCTGATTTCCGATTTTCCATCCGGTCCCGGTCCAAATTGCCAGCCCTACCAATGATGGGTCCAATTTGTTTGTAAAAGATAACTAGGGTTCGTTTGGTTTTGGTGATTGTTTGGTTGTGATAGTTATAATGCATTGTTTTTTTTTAAATTTTCTGCACAAACTATACATGCATTGTTTGCTTGATGTGATGGAAACTATCACTCAAAATGAGTGATAATAATATCTCAAGTTTTTTGTGTGATTGTTGAGATTGTTGGAGTATTTTCTTCTACCAACTATATCCCTACCTTTTGATGTGTTTTGCTTTTTTATATTAAAACCAAAGGGTAAAAGTGACATTTCACCAAGAAATCAATATATCTTATTTAAATACTAGAATAATTATCACAGAAATCAAACGATGTAAATTACCATACATCAATTTTCTTATATACATGTATATTATTATGCATGCATTGATAACAATTCATCTATTTAACTATCACCAAAACCAAACCAACCTTTAATTATAATAAAACAGACCTAAACTACAAAACCAAGAGAGCTCCACGGGGACTATGGGCCCAGGCGTGGGGTTTGCTATCCATAAGACATTCTCATTGGACGAGGAAACTTATAGCCTAATGACTGATTATTATATAAAAAAGAGTGAAGACTTGAGACTACTTTTGTGTATGTAAAAGATTAGTACTTAAAAGTAACGAGTCTCGATTACTAGAAGAAGGTTGTAAGTACACAATTTTGTAGTGTGATCAATATAAATTTAGTGGTACATCAATGAATGATAGGAGTTCCATTCATATCCATTATGGTATACTTTTTTTGAATAACATTTTGGTATACTTAACCCTTTGATTAAATTAGTCATAACAGTAAGCTATTCAATACTAGCAAACCCAGCTTGATGGCATCTAGTTTTGCTATGAAAATCAAAATATTACATTAACGCTTTTTCACTCTTTCTCCTGTTCTTACTTCTCATAAATTAGTATCTAATATACTACACATAAGCAAGCATGGAGACCACTCCTGGCTTTGGCTCTTGTTCCTAAACCTCTGCTGAGATTGGAGGTTGATGGTATTATGAACCTATCAAAGCATACCTCGATTGTTTTTATCATATTTTCTCACAAATCATACTTTCTTTATTCCATACACCTATAACTTGTTGTATCTACCATTCTACCTTCAATATTCACGAATCTCTTTGTGCACATGACTATAGACACAGAGCTCTTTTATTAATTCTTTAGAAAAAGTTTCATTCTTTTTCCTAAACAAGCAAGATCGTTACCAAACCACTCAAGATTTTTTCTGTACTTCCTTCACTTACTTTCCTACGGTTAGATGTCGATTGGGAAAATGAAACAAGGGAAAGGAAAAGGCAAAAGGAAACAAAAGAATTGTCACTTCCCCTCCCTCACTTTTCTCCCCCTAAAATATCTTCCTTTTATATCCCTATCCTATCCCCCATCCCCAGATATTTTTTTCCCTTCCCGCTCCCCACCCCCACCTTCTCCCCACCACGCGCTGAATCCACTCGCTCTCTTATTGCTCTGTCCACCCGGGCCCGCAAACAGCATCCCCACCTGCCCACTTCACTGCGCGAGTGAGCCAACTTCCACACGCGCGAGCAGATTCCCTTCCGCCAGCTGTTTCCGCGAATTAAAAAAGGGGGAAAAAAGGCCGTGGTTTTATTTATCTCACCCGCGCTATATATATATTTACCAAAGGACTTGAAAGAAAAGGGAAGAAGAAACTTCTCTTGGGAATTTCGTCGAACAGTCTCATCTCATTCCCCGGCTGCATCCGATGGACGACGGCGAACCTTCTACCGGAAGCAGCTGCAACAGCGGCGGAGGGAACTGGACGAACGAGAAGCACGTGAATTTCCTGAACTCGATGGAGGCCACCTTCGTTCGTACAATGCTAATTGAAAACCACAGCTCGTCCTTCCACCGCCGCCACCACCACCACCTCCGCCTCGATCGGTGCCTGCCGGACAGCTTGGAGTCAACTCTCGACTCCGCCAAATCACGGCGGCAGAAGAAGTCCCCGATCGGCTCCGCCGCCACCTCATCAGGTGCGTTATTTTGGATGGGCGATTACGTGTAGTTCCAATTGCCGGATGCATTTGTTTCTTCTTCTTTGCCGATCGATTCGATGATCATTCCGCCGTGGAAAAAGTGATCTGCTTTAACCTTTTCTACACTTTTATCTGGATATTAATTAATCATTATACTAGATTTCGAAGATACCCAGATTAATTATAATAAAAAATCATTACAACTCAAAAGTGAACTTTTAATTGTAATTAGCCATCAGATATTTATCTGACAAATTAAAATAATAATTTATGAAGATTGTAACGGATATGACTGGGGACATGTGGATATACCCAAGGAAGATATTTTTTTTGCCACCATTCACATTAATGTTATTTTATGGGCTTTTGAGCTAAGTTGATTAAATTTTGTGTGCACAAATATATAAAAATGGACCGAAATGAATATTTTAAAGATTATTGTATTGTCTAATTGATTTTGGCTGGTTGGGTTTGTTGGTCATGGGTTTGAACAGATTCAGTCGGGTCGAGAAGCAAATTGAGGTGGAGGAATGGACACAAGAAATCAAGAAGATCGACGATGTCGTCATCTCATACTCGTAATCACAATACCCAAACCAGCAATTCATCATCACACGATCAGGTTCTTGCCCACCACCCCTACAATAGTTTGGGTGAAAATGTTTTAAAATGGTTCCTAAATTGTGAGAATTTGTGACAAGATGTCTAAAGCTACAAGCTTCAACAAAACGCTGGCTGGAGTGTAATTTTGTTTGTCCGGTCAATCTGATCTCATCCTACTCGATTTTGAGAGTCGAATCGTGTGGGATTCGTCTGTCTTACCTGCTTTGAGCATATTGGTTGTCGCGAATCACTCAAAGATTAAAGAAAGTTGTGATGATTTGCAACAGGTTGTGCCGCAGCTTGATAAGAAGAGTGGCGATAAAGACGAAAGAGATTCCTCCAAAGGGTAGTGCATGATAGCTAGCTATAGCAGAAACAATGTCTACAGCCTGAGGAAGAACAAGATATACAAGCCCGGCTATCTACTAGATCTTTTTTTCTTTTCTTTTTCTTCGGTTGGAAAATTGGGGGTTAGGTTCATAACTAAGGTGTAGAATCAAATTTGTTACGTGAGTGTGACATATGTAATATCTTAAGGTAGAGATGGAGTCAATTTTAAGTATTAGTGACGACTTATGATTATAAAATATTGCATTTAACATACCTTTTGAAATATCTTATATTTAATCAGTCAACCTAGCTTAGAATATTATTGTTCTTTAATTTTCTTTGAAGAGGTATAGCTAGTTTAGTATCATTTTTCTTGCTTGTTTTTTTTATATTACTCATAAACATCTATATACACCACTTAAGCGATGGAGCGAGATCAAATCTAAATGTTCACCTGCTTAAGCTCTTTTGGGCCTGCACAAAGATTTCTATTAAATGTCTTCCGGAATATCATAGTAAACAATAATATTTTGAAATGGACTAAATTATTTAAAGCTGATGATGCAGAAATAGCAAAGATGCCATCGATACAATTAAAATAGGAGTTATTCTTTCCTTTTCTTAGAAAGAGAGGTAATGGATAACCTTTCTATTTAAACAATAACATTCCGCAATGGACTATAGATTGAATCAAGAGCAAAATTTTAGTTAATAAATGGATTTTTATTTGATGTATCATGTAACCTTAGTTCACTAAATCATGTGAAACTAACAAAGCAAAAAATTTAACATACCGTTGGTATAAATGAATTACATAAGTTTTGAGCAATTCATTTTGAAATGAAATAATTTTGTGTTTGGTATTAAAAAGTATTCATTTTCGATTCTAAATTTTGAATTCTATGGAATTGGAACTAGTTATAGCAATTCCGAGGAATTGAGATGGATTTTCCAAATGAATTCCATAAGTATTTACTAATTATAATAGAATGACATAATTATCATCTTTTATTAACTAAATTACTTATACATATCACATACCAAACACAAGAATTCATTTGACAATGAATTTTACACGACACTTCATTTTATTTCTAAATATTTGAATATAACATACCAAACATAGGATTTCATTTGACAATCAATTCTACACGATAATTCATTTTACAATAAAATTAATTCTCGATTCATTTGATACCAAACGGTATGTAAAAATACAACCGATAAACTCAACACGATGAATCTAATTATTTAACCGACCAGTGTGTCATATGTGTTTGGGGTAAAATGGATTTTAAAAACACACCCTCAGACCTCAGTCCCCCGCACATCTGATCATATTCGTTCATACTACTCAAGTTGAGGGTTGTGTTTGAGAAGAAGAATCATTTCATTATCTCTCACGCTTTCATTCATTACCATTTGTAGATTCTCAGACCCCAAAATATCAGTATGGGCAAAAGTTTAGATATTTTCCCACCTTTTTGTGGGCTACTGATAAACCTTGAAGAATGAGAAGTGCACAAGTTGAAACATAAAAGTAGGAAAGGGATGTAGACATATTCATAGGATATTAATCTTTGAATTGTGAAGCCAACTTTATCCTCATCACATTATATCTAAAATAAGCAACAAAATGTAGATTACAATGTATATATCTAAAATAAGCAACAAAATATATGGCTGTGATTAATATTCCTACTTTATGAATTGTCAAAAAAATGATTATAAGATTAAACCCAGTTGTTGTGTACATATATCACATTCTTGTTTCCGTGTAAACCGTTTCAAAAAACATATTTACATACAAGCACATTGATCATTGATATACTATCTTGTCTTATAATATGTTTACATACAAGCACATTGATGTACTATGTTGTCTCATAATATATCAATTTGAAAGTTTGTTCGAATTCATAAGTTCTTCAATCATAATTATATGTTATATTCTTTGAAAGTTGCTCTTTTATCATCCAACGCAGTAAGTAAATGACAAATGCATTATAATTTGAAACAAACGTTAAACTGTAATTTAAATAAAACAGTAAATAGTGTGCCACGTGTTGCTTCTTCGTTGGCACCCATCTTCTCCATCTAACGGTAAGCTCGGTCCTAAACGTCGACGTCTCGTTCTTCACTTACGTTGCTGGAGAAGTTGATTGAAACGTTTCGTCCTGCTGCTCTATTCTTCAAGGTCAGCTACCAACAGCTTCATCATCTAAACAAGAGCTTCAGTCTTCTGCATCCTTGATTGATACTCCCCCACAAGCTGGCGAGTAAGCATTGTGAACTCCCAGCTTGTCAAGCAAAAAACTTCAAACGATATCGAGAGACCCCTTTAGTAAATATGTCTGCAATCTAGTCATCTGTTCTGACATGGCTCAAATGAATCAAACCAGACTTCAAGCGCTCTCTTGTAACGTGGCAGTCTATTTCGATATATTTAGTCCTTTCATGGAACACTGGATTCTTTGCAATATGCAGAGCTAATTTGTTGTCACAAAACAAAGGAATGGGCAGTGGAACATGTACTCCCATTTCCAACAATAAGTTCCTCAACCACTGAACTTCACAAACAACTTGAGCAAGAGCTCTATATTCAGCCTCAGAAGAGGATCTAGAGACTGTTATCTGTTTCTTAGTTTTCCAGGTAATCAAAGAAGTTCCCAAGAAGGTGCAATAGCCTGTAAGTGACCTTCTAGAATCAAGGCAGCTTGCCCAATCAGCATCGCAGAATCCAGACAACTCTAACTTGGAATCTGAACTGAACATGAGTCCTTGTCCAGGAGTTTGTTTTAAATACCTGATCACCCTGTGAGCAGCCTGCAGATGCTCAACACATGGTTCTCCTTGGTACTGTGCTAATTGTTGAATTGCATAGGTAATGTCAGGTCTTGTAATTGTTAGATAGTGAAGTCTTCCAATAAGCCTCCTGTAAACACTAGGATCTGGTAATGGATCTCATTGGGTTGCTGAGAGCTTCACATTACAGTCAACAGGAGAGAGACAGCCTTTGGCTTCAAGATAGCCTGTATCAGTGACCAATTCCAGGCAGTACTTCCTTTGACTCAGGAAGATGCCTTTGTGATCTCTTAACACTTCCAATCCCAGAAAGTAGCTCATCTGTCCAAGATCTTTGACCTTGAACTCTTTACTCAAAAACAACTTAAGTTGCTCAATATCTCCCAAGTAGCTTCCTGCAATTAATATGTCATCAACATATACCAAAACCACCACAACCCTTCCTTGAATCCACCTGACAAACATGGAATAGTCTGAGGAGGTCTGGGAATAACCATTTTTCATTAAGGCACTGGTCAGCTTGGCAAGCCATTGCATGCTTGCCTGTTTAAGTCCATATAGTGACTCTTAAGTTTGTAGACCAACCCTTGATTTCTAGGAACATTTGCACCAGGAGGGATCTCAAGGTATACCTCCTCATCCAAATCTCCATGCAAGAATGCATTAGAGACATCCATTTGATGGATGTGCCAGTCTTTAGAAGCAGCTACAGCCAACAAAGCCTTCACTGAGTTGATCTTAGCTACTTGTGAGTAGGTATCAAGGAAGTCAATGCCATATATTTGGGTGTATCCTTTGGCAACTACCCTTGATTTAAACCTCTCAATAGTCCCATCATATCTGTGTTTGATCTTAAACACCCACTTAGACCCCACAACTTTCTTCCCTGGTGGCAACTTCACAACCTCCCAGGTTTGGTTCTCTTCTAAAGCTTCTAACTCTTCATTGCAGGCTTGGTTCCACCTAGGATCCTTAGATGCCTCATCATATGAAGTAGGCTCTGCAGTTAACATGACACTCATGGCAAAAGATCGTTGTGCAGGAGCCAGGAGTGAGGTGCTCATAAGTGTAATGCTGCCAGAGATGGTGTTTAGAGCAAGAAGCAATTATGGTGACATGATAATCCTTGTGCCAAACAGGAATAGTGTGAGTCCTGTTGGATTTTCTGAGAAACTCAGCTTCATCAATGTCATTCTCATCAGGAAACAGAGCTATCTCAGTATCCTCCCCCACAGAATGTGAACCAGACACCTCACTAGAAGAAGGGCATGAAACAGGAGAAGGAGAAGATGAAGGTGAGGGGGAAATGGGAACATTCTGGAAAGTAGAAGGTGTGGTGATAGCATCCTAAGGAGAAGGAAAAGGTTTAGTAGGAACAGGAGGAGGAATGAAGTTGGGAACTAGTGACAAGGAAGGTGTAATGGGATCTTGAAGGGAAAAACTAGAGGGAGATGTGGATGAAGAAGTTTGGAAAGGGAAAATTGTCTCATAAAAGAAAACATCTCAGGAGACAAAGAAAAAGTGATTGTTTAGATCATAGAGTTTGTAGCCCTTGATGCCAGAAGAGAAGCCAAGAAAAATGCACTGTCTGGCTCTACTGTCAAATTTAGTTCTGTCTCTATGAAGTGTAATGGCATAGTTGAGACAGCCAAACACTCTAAGGCCAGATAAACTTGGTGGTTTGTTATAGAGAAGTTCATAAGGGGACTTGTTCCCAAGTACAGAAGTGGGGATTCGATTAATTAGGTAGACAACATGGAGAATGCAGTCACTCCAGAAAGCTAGGGGAACTCCAGATTGAAATCTAAGAGAACGAGCTACATTGAGAATGTGTTGGTGTTTCCTCTCAACCCTAGCATTCTGCTCAGATGTCTCAACACAGGATAATTGATGCTCAATTCCCTGTGAAGCATAGAACTCAGCCATGTGGAACTCAGACCCTTGGTCACTGCGGATCACTTTAATCTGTTTGGAGAATTGCTTTGCAACCATCACACAGAAAGATACTAGAAGAGTGCTGGCTTTAGATTTATGTTTCATCAGATAAGTCCATACACCCCTAGAGTAGTCATCTACTATAGTGAGAAAATAGGAGTAGCCCTCAGAGATTTCACAGCAAGAGGACCCCATATGTCCACATGAATCAAAGCAAAAACATCCTGTGCTCGAGAAGTACTAACAGGAAAATTCAATCGTTTTTGTTTGGCATAATGACATATTTCACAATGAAATATTGGATCCCTATTACAAGGTACTAGGAGTTTCTCTTTTTCTTTATGAAGATGTCCTAGCCTCTAGTGCCACAGATGGATGTTTTGGGGAGAAAAGTTGTAGACATCAACTGCTTGGGAATGGTGCGTGGAAGGTTGAGAAGGCTTGAAGTTTAGTTGATAGAGTCCTTTAATCTGTTTTGCCAAACCAGTCCTGCTGTGGGTCATGAGGTCCTGAATTTGGCAAGAATTAGA